AGGAATGGCTCAGACCCGGCCCCAGGTTGGGACTTGACAGGGTGTTTGTGTCTGGACAGGACTCTGGAAACACGCCGCACATTCTTCAGCCTGACAACTCAAACTGAGCAAAAAATACAAACCCAGCACAGAGTTTTCAATGTTTTAAGATCCTGCTTCAGATTTAAGTCCTCTGAGATTCTCCAGGATTCTCCAGGCTTCCCTGACTCCTGGAGAAATACACGAGTCCTGAGTTTGAACTTTGAACCAGCTTCATTTGCCTTGAATAAACATTCGATATGAAAGAATTGATCAGTGATCGACAGTAAAGAGTAAATCAGAGCCACTTTTACTGTTTTAAAGCCAAATTTAAACGGACAGTGGCCATTTTATACGTTGTTTTTTAACGTTCTGGTACAGCTCTTTAGTAAATCTCTGTAATCCATCAAATTCTAATCGTAATAGATCATATTCTGATACGGACACCTGACACTGAAAGCTGGATTTGAACAGTAGAGTTTGAGGTTTGGTTAATAATGGATCTGTGGTCCGTTCATTGCTTGTGTGGTTTAGGTTGTATTTATTTGAGATGTTGGTTTTTCCTCAGGTTCTTTTTTTGTTTGAAGTTTCTTTAATAAACTCATTTTCAGTCTCTATCTGCCTCCGTCTTCCTCCTTATTCCATAAGTAGTCGGTTTGATTTAGTGGTTTCTGTAAGAAACGGCTGGAAGTGCTTTAAATAATCTTTGTTTGTTTGGTTTTGGTGAAGACAAAGCTGCTTAACCCTTTAAAGCCAGATCAAATAAAAATAGGAAGAATGTTGGATTTTTTTTAGTCTGAAGTCTTTCTTTGGCCCCTCAACAACATTTGAAGAAAAAAAAACTGAAATTATTTTGATCAAATTAGCGTGCAATAAGTCAAAAATATATGTTGGTGTAGTCTTCTACTGGCTGTTATCAGGTATATCTGAATGTGTACAACAGGGGTTTGAGCAAAGCTTTTACCACTGAATGATGCAAAAAGTCTCAGATCCAAAAGACTTCAGAAACCGGATCAAATATGACACATTTGGCATTATAGGGATAAATCCCCTCCCCCCTTACTTCACACTGGATGTTCTCTGTTGGTAAAATCCACCCAAAAAAACTCCAATTTCTGTTTATTGTTGAAACAAACCTCACTGGTCGTCGTGTTTAGTGGAATGATTGGAATTTCTTCAGCTAGCTATAGTGAAAAAAGACGATTGTTCTGTGAAACAAGTGTTTTTTTTAGGCCTTTTTCTCTCACATGGGGTCACTAGTGGGTCATAATCTCCTGTTGGTGTCGTCCGATTGTTCCTGTAAACACAGTAATCTTCTCAGGGCCGGGCCAGACTCCATAAATACATGTTTCCCACCTCAGAGGCACCAAAACAAATCCAGGATTCCCATTTCCACTCATATTTGCTCTGGGAGAGGGCTTTTCTGTTCCACTGGCCGGAACCAGATGCCCAAACCTTTGAAAACAGGAAGTAAATATGTGCTGAATCATTCAAAAATACCTGATAGAAATAGAAATGTATCAGTCTGTTAATTGTATGTGATGTGATGTATGATTGTGGGGCTAATAAAGCTACATATGACAGTATTTACAGAGGTAAACATGAACAATGCTTTGATATTTCTGATTTTGTCTGACTTTGGACAGAATTGCTAATCATTTACGTGTCAGAAATCAATAAATCAGAACATTGTAACTACGCTTTTAGATTTTTTTAGCTGTGGAGTTTGGACTAGAAGCTGTTTGAGCTGAGTTTTTCTGAGCAGATGACTGTGACAGAAGTTTAGCAGGGCTTCAGATTCCATTCCCCTGTAAACTCAGGCTGGATTAAACAGAAAAAAACGCCTCTTTTTATTCGTTTAGCCTCGAGCGGACTGGTCAGAAACCGGCCCGTCGGGCCCAGGTCAGGAAACCGGACTATTTTATGTCGGGGAAATGGATTTCTGTGACAAACAGCGTCTTTTAAATGAGTTTAGAAACACAATAACAGGCACTCATCTCTCAACTGGCAGCTTTTAACTCTCTAAACTCACCAGCTGAGACCTTGACAGACTGTTTTCTGATGAGAACAGGACTTTTTTATTTTCATTTATTTATTTATTTATTGTTTTATTTATTTATTATATATTTATTTATTATTTATCATTTCAGTTCCCACTAGCTCCAGCTCTTGTCCTGATTCCTTCATTTGCATACTTTAAAACTAATTTACAGATTACTTACAGTTTAATTACAGAACAGGCCCGGAAAAACACACCCCTCTGTCCTGAAGTGGTTCAGCCCAAAAAGGGAGAAGCCCCTCCATCAGAAATCTCTATTTCTCAGATACGACCATCACCTGAGGGAATTTTGAGGTTGAAAAATTGAGTTTGAAAGCCTCCTACCGACCCAAAACCCCCCCAGTGAGCAAATCCAGCCCCATCCGGTTTAGGAGAGAGTGAAGCGCACCTTTGGATTTACTCTCCCAGTCAAGATTACGTTAATCTGCTCTAATCTCAGAGCACGAGACCAAAGAGGAAAAAGAGAGAGAGAAAAAAAACAGAGCTAAAACCCAGAGTTTAAACCACATCCACCTCAGCCCAAACAGGCCCAGAAAAACGGGTTTATTCTGTGTAAACCTGACCATTTTTACTGACTCCCTCCGAGGTTTGGGGGGATTCTAATA